TACATGATCAGGCAAGATCAGGAACTAAATCTTACATGATCAGTCAAAATCAGGAATGAAATCTTACATTTTCAGTAAAAATTTGGAATTAAATCTTACATTATCAGTCAAGATCTGGAATTAAATCTTGTATGATCTTTTAAGACTCTTACTTGTTATGAACTAATATCATGAAGGATATTGTAAGATCTTGTCAAGATCTTGAAGAAATAGTTAAGTTCGGATTTGGGATTCAAAGCATATCCCATAGTGTTAAAATGACTGCAATTGTAAGATCTGAGCAAGAACTTACATTGCTTAAATGCATAATAATGATGTCATTATAGCTTAATTAAGTTTAATTTTGTTGAAAGTTTGCTTTCTTTATATGCTCATACTTTTGTAAAGGCTATCGTGGGTTGTCAACTACTTCCTGTGACATCACGCAACTTGTAAGATCTTTCAAGATCTTGTATGACTTGAAATGATGTGAAGCGTAAGATAATTCATGTAAGATCTTAAGTAAGATCAGGCATATACATCTTATCAGTAATATTGTAAGATAAGTCATGTAAGATCTTAAGTAAGATCAGGCCTGTACATCTTATCAGTGATATTGTAAGATAAGTCATGTAAGATCTTAAGTAAGATCAGGCCTGTACATCTTATCAGTGATATTGTAAGATAAGTCATGTAAGATCTTAAGTAAGATCAGGTCTGTACATCTTATCAATGATATTGTAAGATAATTCATGTAAGATCTTAAGTAAGATCAGGCATATACATCTTATCAGTGATATTGTAAGATAAGTCATGTAAGATCTTAAGTAAAGATCATGCCTGTATATAGTAGCTAAGATTGATCCAAATAAGATCTTATAAGGTTGTTCTTAATTCTTATCTCACCTTACTTTATCTGATCAGATAATACAAGATCTTAGTAAGATTTTTTTGCTGGGAGACTACATGTACATTAGGTAGTCTATAATATCTATGAGTAGAGGGACTATTGTTGGTGGGTGGAGCATACCCTCAGCTACAAAGAACTCCATTGACTTATCCCCAGGCTCCTTAAGATCTGAAGCAGAAGCCACTGAACTCTCAAAACTATCGATAAGAGAGAACCTCAAGGAGCCAAGGTATCAGAAGTAAGAGGAGGAGGAGTATCTTCAAGAGGAGGGACCCTAGCTAACTCAAGACAGGACACTGAGGGGACTGGGGCCCGTTGGAACTCGTACTTGATCTCTGTCGTCATGGAAATGAGAGGTTGGCCCTCTCTTTCTCAAGGGAATCAAGTATTGACTTGTACTTAGGAACACAAAGTACAGACAAGAAGTAGAATATACTGGACAGTATCGGTTGGAGTAAGGAATGACTCTCCCGAGGCTGTAATAGGAAATGTAATAAAAATGGAAAGTTCTCAGTCTCAGTCCTTTTCATTTTTAGCAAAATTAGGCTAAAGTCCCTGTATTACATGTATAGTACCAAAAATTTGGCCTGATTTTTGAATAACTTTAAAAATTCATAAAAATTTGATTGGAAACTTTTTAGTATATCAATGTGTATCAAAAATATGGGGTGATTTTGAAGACATTTCTTGGAAAAATCAAAATTTTGGGATTTTATTAAAATGGTCATAACCGGAAAAAATGAAGTCAAAATTAGCTTAAACTTTCTATATAGCATAAGGACAACAATATGTGTCAAAAATGTAATTAAAAATTGGGGCGATTTTAAAGCTATTTTTTCCGACAAAGTCCTTGTACTGTAATAGCACAGGGTTATTCATAAAATTTTTACTAATGTTATGTAGAAAGTTTAAGCTCATTCTGATGAAAATTAAATTTTTAAAGAATTTGTTAAGTTGCTAAAATTTGTCAGAACATAAAAGGACAAACATGTACATGTACATACACTGACTGTGTTTCCTAACCTTGTTGTATTGGTACCAAACATATAGCTGTACGAGAGACCAGAGGAGGTGGGGGAGGGGCAGGATGACGAGCGGAATAACGTACCTCAAGATACTTTGAGTCTCTTGGAATGTGTCGGGTAAATGAAACACATATTTTCTATCAACACTCTAAATAGTGAGAGACATGGAGATAAAGGATTACATGTACATGTACATATGTATATTTACTTTTGATGTACATTTCATAATTCAATGTTTATCAGAAAAACTCTCGTTAAACTCCTAAAATACAATAAAAACAATGAGATGCACATGTAATAATTTGGTTATTTGTTTACAATGGTCATGATTCAAAAAATTTAGTCATCAACAACATGTATCAAAAATATACATGTAGGGGGTGTTTTAGAGCCATTTTTATAAGCTATAGCCTTGGGTATTTTTCAAAATTTTGACATTTAATTAAAATTTGGGGTTATTTTAGGGTCATTTCTTGAGAAAACTATGGGCTTTTAAAATTTTAGAATTTTGGCATTATTTAAAATGGTTGTAGCTAAAAATTTTTGGTCAAAAACAACTCAAACTTTCTACATAGTATAAGGACATTAACATGTAACAGAAAATGCAATAATATTCTTAAAGAATTTTGGCACCAATTTTTGGAAAAAGCTAGCTCTCTGTATTTTTCTGAAATATTTAAAAATAAAATAAACTGACATGTTCACTCAAAATCTCCCTAATATCAATTAATTAATAAAATACACTAAGAAACATGCATTACATACATTAAATACATGAGAGTCTTTTAAAGCTACAAGCTCCTACGAGACAGAAAATAAAAAAAGGATAGGAGAGAGATGAGAACAATAAAGTATAAATATACTACTAACTGATAATAATCTACCATCACATTCTGTCAACCTGTTAAATAGATAAATGAATAAATAAATTAACAAATCAATTAATAAATTATATACCTAAATTCAAAGTTTCAGATCTCTAGTGTCGCCATGTTGAATAATGAGCCCCAACCATCTATCCGGTTAGCTTGTTCCAAGACTTGTTCTTTGATCAATGGCAACTAAAACCAGTTCTTGTTCCTCTTCTCGGAGTCTCTTCTCTTCTCCTTTGACTATTGGTAATGTTCATCAACTATCTATGTATCATTGAATATGATTTCAGAGCAACTTATTGATGTACTTAATCTGTTGAAGAGATGTTGTTTCCCTCAGAGGAGATGGAAGGAACTAGGACTGACACTAGGACTACACAAGAACACACTGGATGCCATTGAAAGGAATCATCCTGGTGATGTATATCAATGCTTGACAGAGTGTCTAAGTGGTTGTCCAGAGCTGATAATGTTGACAGTAAAGGAGGAGCTACCTTGACTCATTGTCAGATGCTCTTAAATCTATGAATGAGAATGCTGCAACTGACAAGTTAGATCAAGAGAGTAAGTTAATACCACTGATAATATTAGTACTGACTGTGTGTGTTCTATATAGAACGTAATGCTATGATCAGTGGTAATGATACCAAAGGAAACAATGATGTACACAGTACTGCTCAGTACTGGTGAGTGATAGTGATACATTACTGGACTAAAGTACCATATAGCAGGAAATTTTGGAGGTAGCTAAATTTGGCAAATTTGGTGTTTTGATAGCCATTTGCCAAAATAAAATCTGCCATTTTGAGCCATTATGTGCATGCTCAATAGCACATGGCCATAAAATCACCAATCACTAAAATTTAGCAATTTGCAAAATTTAACTCCCTCCAAAATTTCCTGAATACGGTATCTAGATGTATAAAAATTAGTATTTTCAGAGATTGGTGGAGGAGTGTAATTTGTAAAGTAAAATATGTAATTTGTTAAATTATGTGTAAAATTCATAGTAAGCCATAATTGATTGGTATGTAGTATGATAACTATGAAATGCTTTGGTTGAGTGATAACTATGAAATGCTTTGGTTGAGATAATTACTGCAGTTATTTCAATTATCTATCCTCCTACTAGTACTAACAAGCCATTGATAGGAGGTCCTTCACTCTCTCCTGTTGCATTAATTGATATGAACAATGTCACAGTACAATACGTTGTATAAGATAAGGGGAGATGATGCTTTATTTATTGTTTGGTTTTGGATTTTTAACTTTATGCCATATCACAACTTAACTGGGATTTTCTTGGAGCTGTTTTTGAAAAAACCATCACAGCTATAGTCTTTGCTTTGCTTCTTATCAAAAGTTGGCTTGTTTTTTAAAATGTAAAAATTTTGCCTCAAACAACATAAGGACATCAATATACACCAGAAAATGTATTAAAATATTGGGGTAATTTCAGAGCCAATTAAAAAAACATAGGAAAATATTTTTAAAAAATTAGCCTTTAAAAATTGGCCATAACTTAGTCTCATCACCCAGTCCCTTTGCTTTAGGACTAGTCATAACTCAAAAGATTTAAATCAAAATCAGCTCAAACTTTGCATAAGGAAATCAAATTGTATCACAAATGGTAATAAAGATTGTGGCTGATTTTGCCAGAGTCATTTTTTGAAAAAAGCATGGGCTATAGTACAGAGCATTTTTCAAAATTTTGGCTTTTAAAAAAATGGCTGTACTTAAGAATTTTTTGCTGGCATCAGCTCAAATTTTCTACATAGCATAAGGACATTAATGGTATCAAAAATATAATAAAAATTTGAAAAAATTTTGGCACTCATAAAATTTTATTCTGAATCAGCAAGCCCAAACCTTCTCCACAGCATAAGGACATATAAATGCATTAAAATTTTTAAAAGATTTTGGAGCTATTTTTTGGAAAAAGGCAGTTTTGTGTACTTCTCTGAAATATTTAAAAATAAAATAACCTGAAATGCTCGCTCAAAAACTCTCTAATATCATTAAATACATTTAAAAGCATGCATTACGTTACTTACATTAAATGCATGAGAGTCTTTTGAATCTACAAGCTCCTACGAGAGAGAAAATGAAAGAAAGGATAGGAGGAACAATAAAGTATAAGTGAATAAAAATTAATTGATCTCTAATGTGGTCATTTTAAATAACGAGCCCCACCCTTTGCATTCCTTGCATGCATGCCTAGCCTTTAAAAGCTTGAATCCGGTTAGCTCATATCATATCTATGATTAGCTCTAGAGTTATTAGTTTGTTCCGAGGCTTGTTCTTTCATCAATGGCAACTAAAACCAGTTCTTGTTCCTCTTCTCCGAGTCTCTTCTCTTCTCCTTTGACTATTGGTAATGTTCATTAACTATCTATGTATCATTGAATATGATTTTAGAGCAACTTATTGATGTTGTTGATCTGTTGAAGAGATGTGGTTTCCCTCAGACAAGATGGCATGAGCTGGGATTGACACTAGGACTACTCATGGACTCACTGGACGCCATTGAAAGGAATCATCCTGGTGATGTATCTCGATGCTTGACAGAGTGTCTCTCCAAGTGGTTGTCCAGAGCTGATAATGTTGAAAGTAAAAGAGGAGCTACCTTTGACTCACTGTCAGATGCTCTTAAATCTATGAATGAGAATGCTGCAGCTGACAAGTTAGATCAAGAGAGTAAGTTAACATCACTGATTGTATTAGTATTGACTGCATGTGTGTGTATTCTATAGAACGTAATGCTATGACCAGTGATAATGATATCAAAGGAACCAATGATGTACACAGTACTGCTACTGGTGAGTGTTACATTACTGAATTGAAATATCTAGATGTACAAAAATTATTATTATTTTTCAGAGATTGGTGGAGGAGTGTAATTTGTAATGTAAAATATTTAAATTGTTAAATTATGTGTAAAATTCATAGTAAGCCATGATTGATTGGTATGTAGTATGATAGCTATGAAATACTTCAATTGAGATAATTACTACAGTTATTTTAATTATTTATCCTCCTACAGGTACAAACAAGCCATTGATAGGAGGTCCTCCACTCTCTCCTATTGCATTAATGAATATACCAGATGATAGACCAAAAATATCTGAATTGATAGAGTTTCATGAGTTATTGATCAAAGGACAACTGAAGGGATCCTTACAACTGCTTGATGCTGATACTATAAGAAAGATTAGAAATGCTGTTAATGATCATGAAGGAATGTCTCTTCTTATAAGAGCTTTTGAAGAACATCCAACACTGCTATATAAAATGAGAGTAGCTACTAGAAAAATAAAAGGTATGTAATTGTTAATTACAAAAATGTATTAAAATTAGCTAAAGTAATCAGCAAGCACTAGCCAGTGTTTATTAATATTAATAGCAATTACTATTAATAGGTTCATCACTAAAGACACTAAAGTCTCCTCCCCCAGTAGCACTTAATAAACCAAGATCATTATCACAAAGCGAACGATCTCAACCATTGTCAACAGCAAAAAAAACACGACCACTTTCACAAACCACACAATATCCACCAACAGCACCTAAGCCAAGTCAATCTCAAGATTTATCATCAGCTCCACATGATCCAACAGCAACAGTACTGCAAGTTAAGGAGGGGAAGAAAGATCCATCATCATTCAAACCAATGGAAGGATCAATGTCACCAGAATACATTACAATGAAAGAGATGTTAGCTGATCTTGTTGATCTGTTGGCAGGAAATGCTCCAGCTATTTCTCAGTTAAGTAATCATCTCTTTTCATCTGATCTTATTCCTAAAGCAGTACATGTTACTGTTGAAAGTACTGCAGGACTCAGTCCTTATGATAGAGCTAATAAAATATTCTCTTCAGTACTAGCAACACTTGAGTGTCATCCTAATCCTAACAGTGTGTTCTCTTCTCTCATTACGTCACTACAGAAAGTAGAGCTTAAGAACATGGCATCTAAACTAATGGAAAATTTAAGTAAGGTATACAGTATCTTATACCCCTTTTATTTACTATCTAAATTTTTTTTATAATAGAAATGAAAGGTGGTCATGTTGATCTTAATCTAGAGCAGCAACCATCAGTCAGTAAGGGACCACTTCAACCAGTGGATGTCACTGCACAATCTCACACACCACAACCAATAATCACTCAATCACAATCATCTACTCCTACTACTGTCATTGAGCTCAGTTCAAAAAGTGAAGTTGCTGCCAATATTAAAAATCTTCATTCTCGTTTTGCATCTCTTGATTCTGATATAAGAGATGAGTTTGAGGAGCTGGTGGAAAAGGATAAAGTGAAGCTTAAAGCTGTAGCTAGGAGTGCAGCAGCTTATTTAAGCATTAAAGTATCCAGTTTGAAATATGACAACGTTGATGAATTGTTTGATTCTCTTCAGCCTCATTATGATTTCTTCAGTTGTGGTGGTGTACTTAAGCACTTAGCAAACAAATACCTTTCAACTGCACAAACTGAAGTAACTCAATACATTGATAGTGTTGATAAATTCTCAGAATCATCACAATTGAAGCACATACGATCAACAATCAAAGAGAAATTGTCATCATTACCAGCAGCAGCCTCAGCAACCACTAGCAATAAAACAAAACCAGTCGTTATACAGCTAAGCGACAGATGGGAAGAAATGACTCTAACTAAATTTAAAAGAGTTCTTCAGTATTACTTTGGGCATAAAGTAGCAGATATTTCTACTATAGTGGACATTGATTTTGGTTCAGTTGTCATTACACTGTTAATACCAACCTCACTATCACAGTCTCTTATTGATGCTATCAATAACAAAACAATCTCAATGAGTAGATTAGGAATATTGGAAGTTGCTGTTGACGGTAATACAATTC